TTAGCAGTCGGCGTAGGTGGAGACAAAATTCATCTCTAGTGGGGACTATGTTTCATTCCTCAGGCACTATTTCTTTCTTAAAGGGACACATGGAAAAATACACCCATTTTAACCTGGCCATGCACTCCCATGGACACACACGCACACACACAAACACTGACTGACAGACACATGCAGCCACATGCACAAAGATGTCAACAGGCATGTCTATTTATACCAATGCTCCAATAAATCTATCTGCTCAGTTGTCTATTTTCTCTGGCTTTGCCCATGCAGCACTGAATGCCTCTACAGCTTAAAGACAGGAGAGGAGAGGAGAGGAGAGGAGAGGGCAAAGGGGTTAGGGGAGACAAGAAGAGACGAGTGCCCCGTGGCATTTTCCTCTTCTTTGGCTTAACTCTCCGTATCTTTAACACAACCGCTGGCCTGACTGTTACACACCACTGTGCAACAAATTCCTGGAAAATATGAACTTGTGTCAACATGTACAGCTCAAACTAATACAGGCCCACTGTTATGCCCCTCTGGTCTTTTCATTTCTACAGCATAAATACCTCAAAACAACACCTCTTTTTGCTGAGTGGCAAAAAGAACCTAAAGGAAAGGATCTAGTTTGGTGAAAACCATCACTGATATCAAAACATAAATCAACCCTGTCTGTGTAAAAAAAAAAAAAAAAAGATACTTACACAACTCCATAGGGAAAAAGTGATATAAGATGTTAATAAATGAGTCTGTAAATGTTTAAAGTATACATTTCAGCAGGCTGAAATTTCTGCTTTGTGCAGCTCCTCCTTGCACGATGTAACATTCAGCATGAAATATTTTTGTCAAGTCTGGGCTCAAAGCCACATTCAACACTTACTCAAAAACTCACTCAAATAAAATATACTATCCTATGCAAGAGTGGTTGCTGATTTTCCTGTCTTCGAGCTCTTGATTCTTAAAATCACTACATTTCTTTTGCACCTATGTCAATATAGTTCAAATAATACATTTAAATACTGTAAATATAACAAAAAATGCAGTGCTATTAAATTATCACAAGGTGTTTCTCATTATCTTTCAGCTCAGATCACATGAAAAAAATAAGATTAGATACAAACTTGTATGTTTTGCTTTTTATTTGAATAGTGTTTTGAATCGGAATTTATGCTTAATGGAATTGCAGTTTAACATCCAGATATGAAGTGAGTTTATGCAGAATAATGAAGAGCAGATAGAAATCTAAAGAAAGGCACGAGAAACTGCATTTAAATAAATGGCAACTGTAGGAATTCTGTAACATTCGTTCTACAGAATTTGTCTGCCGCTATTGACACATTTCTGTACTGTTACAGTAAAAAAGCCTTTATGTTCTTCTGCAATATGTCACATTAAGTTTTTTTCCCCCTACTAAACCTAGTTAGAATAATATTCAACAATTGGATGGACTTGGAATGTGCTAAACTTAACACAAGCAAATGGTTTTAGATTCATGTCACCTGTCGGATCAGAAGAAGAAATGTACAAAATCAGATGGCATTTGACTTTGTCTTGATTGACTATACATTCAAGGAGAGGTGCAGAGTTTGATTTGATTTGTTTTGATTTGATTTATTCTTTCAAGCATGTAAAGACAGTTGATATGTCAACACACATAATTTTACACATATCCAACAAATGCTAATCCAATATCAATTTGCTTATACCTAGTACATGCTTGAATGGAGTAGGAAGAAGTCAGACTTATCCAGTCCTACCCCATGACATCATCTTACCATCATTGGTTTACAAGCAGTATCTCTACATAAATAATTCTCTTCCACACCACACAAGTAATATACTAAAAAAATTATAACAGAGTGTTAACATTCTTACATAATTACATTCTTAAATAATTATCTTCTACACCACACAAGTAATATACTAAAGAATTATTACAAAGTGTTAACATTCATACACCACACCCACAATGTTCCATCTAATTAATCATTAAGCCTGTTCTTGCATATATCCTGATTGACACATACCTTTATATTTATGTTTAAACTCATCAATTCTAGTACTATTTTTT